TTTATATTGTTTTAAAATTGAGTAAATGGTTCATATTATTTTTTGCAGAAATAAGCTAGTCAAATGTACTTAATTGCAACTTTTTAATAATTTATATATTAAATTGAAAATTTCAAAAAAGTTTAGACACCATAAATATAATTAACTTTAATTGAATGATTGTAAAACTCTGCCGTTTTTATAGGGTTAATTTGGCATTGCTATTGACAGTGGGGTCAATTAGATATACGTAGTCTGAACTTTTAAATTGTTTTCCATTTTGGTGTAGTAATCACCTATGATTGATTGCAGTGATTAAAATAAATTAAGAAAAATGTGTTAATATGCACATAATAAGTTTGTCATATTCTGAGAATGTTTTCCCTTCTAAACATGAGAAGTTATTTCCTTTAAATAATTTAATCTTTGTTTGGATGAGAGTTTTTTTTTTTTTAAAAGAGTGAACGTAACTATGAAAAATATTTAGAGTAACGTGTTTTCCTTTGTTCGGAAAAGTGAAAAAAAATATTAAAGGAATGAATATTTCACTTATTTTTCGACCTAGGCTCGTACGTCTTCAATCTCTTCAATTTTGAAGAAAATAATGGACTTTGACTCCTTAAATTTAAGTGAGGATATTTTTTATGATATTTCAGAGTCCATGTCAATGGCAAATTTTAATGATATTTCAGAGTCCATAAAAACCATTCTCAAATCCTTCTAAATTTAAAGAAAAATATTCAAAAAAAAGTAAAAGAAAAAGCATCAAAAGGGCATCCCTCAGTTTCATAAAAGAACAGAGCATACATTGTCAATTTAAAATAAATATATATTTTTTTATCATGGCGTGCTCTAGAAGAGAGAGAGAGGAAGAAGAAGAAAAGACATTTTAGTGAAAAAATCTTATTTTCTCTTCAGACCGTCAGATTTTAATTTGGTTTAGAATCTAAAATCTTAAATATTAGACGAAAAGACAATCTAATATAAGGGACTTAAAATACCAGAGTGTAATAACATATTTTTAAAAATATAAGAGCAAAGTAATTAATTTTAGAAAAATATATGGTACAATTATAATTTTTTCTTTTTTATTTTCTTTTTTCAAAATTTGTCTTTCCAAATAATGAAAAATAAATTTATTTTCTTTCCGTCGTTGTATCCAAACACAAGATGGAAAAATAAGTATAAAAAAAGTTTACAATTCTTCACTATTTTCCTCTCTTATTTCTCTTACTCTAACAATTTCCTTACTCTTCTTTTTAAATGAATGATTAGTTTCTCCTTTCACCAGATTCTCCTAAAAATTAAAAACTTAAATAAAAGTGCATAAAACTTATACATGTACGGGTGTGGAAAGATATATAATGGTGGTAGCCTGATGGTGAAGCCCTAGTCATCTCCCTACTTGATCAAGATTTAATCCTTCATGAGCACATTCTATTGTGCATGATGTCTAAATATTAACTCTGCTGCCGGAAAGCTTGGCCTATTTGAAATGAGCTTTCTCAGGGTGGACTCTTGCATCATGGGTTATTGTAACGCCATGATCCTACAGGAAAGGGGCAAGGTCTCCCACCAATGCTTGAGAGATTGTACACCCTATGGGGATATTTTAAATCGAAACGTCAACACCTGACCGATATCCCTAGTCGACGGGAGCAATGACTAACACACCTCATAGTCTTTTTTTTTTTTTAATTTTTTTTACAAAAATAATATTAATCATTTTTTTTCAATAATTAAATTAATTTACAATACGTTAGATAGATTACCTTTCTTATATCATCCATATGTATAATATATTCTCCTTCCTAATTAACATAAATTACTTCCTAATTATTATATCTTTAATTCTCGTTAATTAATTTTATTAAATCTTTAATTAATATAAATTACTTCTTAATTAATTTACTTTAATTTTTTATTTAATTTTTCATGAAGTCTCTATAAATATTGAAATGTACAAAATTTAAATTTCAATATTACAGAAGCATATAAGCAAGAATATTAAAAAAAAATCAAATTTTCTTATTAATTTATTTTTTAAAACATGCTTTTCTTATCATTACCCATTAGACATGTAAAATTCAATTTATATATTCTTCTATACACAAATAACAAATATATCTTTAAACACTTTAATTATATCCGTTATTCATAATCATTCAAATTTTTATATTATTATTCATTTTTACTCGTTATTTATATTCGTTCAATTTTAATATTTTATTTTTAAATTTATTTTAAAAAATATATCCAATCAAATTATACAAACATGAAGAAAAAAATTATGAAAAATATATATTTTTCTTTTTTTATCTCGCTCCTAATTAAAATATTTTAAATTATAATAAAAATAGAATTAAATATTAAAAAATATAATATAAAATTCTTAAATATTTTATTGTCATATATATTTATAAAAAATAAATTTAAAAATAAAAATAGAATTAAATATTAAAAAATATAATATAAAATTCTTAAATATTTTATTGTCATATATATTTATAAAAAATAAATTTAAAAAATAGAAAATTAAAATTTTGAAATGCTTAATTATTCAAATGTATTTGTTTAAAAAATAAATTTAACAAATTATATCCAATCAACTAATAAAATGTATTTTTCTAATCGATCAATATTCAAATTTCATTAAGTGATATCAGAAATTTTATCATTCCCTCCTATTTTCACATTTATATATAGTATAATTAACTTAAGTTTTATATTTTCTTGACAACAAATAGCATTATAATTTTGCTTAGCTTTATAATTTATCTAAAATTAACTTTTATATAATTGTCACTCGACTTTGCAATACATGAATAGAAAAACCCAATTTTTATAAAAAAAAATAAAATAATAATTTTGATATTTTTGAGTGATAAAATTATTTAAAAATCAAAAATTAGGAAAGGAGATGAATTATTTAAAAAAACAGAACAAACAATTATAAAATAAAATTACAGAACGGTGTTGTCTCTTTCATTTAAAAAAGTAATGAAATAAAATTTTTTCTAGAATATTTATTATTTTTAATTATTTTATTTATATTTTATTTAAATCAAATATTTTTTTTTTCAAAAAAAATGGTTTTTTTATGTGAAATTGGAGTAAAAGTTATTAAAAATGTGATTTTTAACTATATTCAACAAGCAAATTTAGTTTTATTCCAATTTCAAAATTATTATTGAATAATTTATAGAATTATCAAATTTTTTTTTTCATTAAATAGTAATCAAATTATATTAATTACAATTATATTTTACAATAAAAATAAAAATATCACATAACTTTAATATAGTTCTTCCAAGTATAAGAAATAAAGCAAACTATATTTCAAGGGAATATATAATTATTACAAGTTATCATTGGTGGAAAGATAAATATACACACACTTACAAAGCCTAGGTAAGCTACTTGTCAAAATTTTATTCTTAAAATGCTTTTAGTATTTTTTAAATAAATAAATAAATAAATTATTTTTTATTGTGATGATAAGAAGTGCCCCTTTCTCTTCTCATTCTCTCAATCGATTCATTCAATTGAAAAAAGCACTCAGTAGTCAGTGATCAAACCATCTTTCCCCAAGATCGGTTCATTGCCTTCATGCGATGATGTCAACAAGCAGCCGAAGATGCCTTACTAATTTTCGTCTTCATCCTCTAATGGGTATTTTTGATTCTCTTTCTTATAGTACTTCTACCAGCAGTACGCATTTGAGAGGTAAAATCAAATCTGATTCATTCCAGAACATTGACGATGCTTTGGCTTCTTTTGATTTGATCCTTCGTAGTAATCGCTCACCTCCCGTTATGGAACTGAATAAAATATTATCTGCACTTGTTCGAATGAAACATTATGCTACTGTCATTTCTCTGTCTAAACAGATGGAAATGTTTGGAATTTCACACGATATTTGTTCTTTTAATATTTTGATTAATTGCTTCCGCCACCTAGACTGTGTGGATTTTGGGTATTCTCTTATGGGGAAACTTTTCAAACTTGGTTTTAAGCCTAACATTATAAGGCTTACTACCTTAATCCACGGGCTTTGTAGAGAGGATAAATTTGTTGAAGCTGTGGATTTGTTTGATGATATTGTTGAAAAAGGGTATAAACCCAATGTTTATACCTATACTGTGATTGGATGATATTGTTGAAAAAGGGTATAAACCCAATGTTTATACCTATACTGTGATTGTAAATGGTCTGTGTAAGATTGGGAAAACCAATGTGGCTTTTGGTGTTTTGAAAAGAATGATCAAGAAAGGCTGCGAGCCTGATGTGGTATCATATAATGCTATCATTGACAGCCTCTGCAAGGATAGATTTGTTACTGAGGCATTAGACCTCTTCTTCAAAATAAAGAGCAAAGGTATCTTACCTAATTTTGTGACCTACAGCACCTTAATCCGTGGTCTGTGTATGTCAAGCAGGTGGAAGGAAGCTTTTATATTCCTTAACCAAATGTTGAGAGCAAACATCACACCAGATTTAATTACCTTCAGTACTTTGGTCGATGGACTTTGTAAGGAAGGAAAGGTTTCAAAAACTCGTGATGTAATCAAATTGATGATGCAGGGAGGAACAGAGCCTGATGTTATCACCTACAGTTCATTGATGGATGGATATTGTCTACACAACCAAGTAGATCAAACTAGAGAAATATTTGACCTGATGGTACGCAAGGGTTCATTGTTACTGTAAGAGAAAAAGGATAGATGAGGCAATGCGGCTTCTTGATGAAATGCCTTGCAAAGGCTTGATGCCTAACGATTTCACTTATAATTCTCTTATACATGTCTTGTGTAAAGCAAAGAGCCCTAGGGCTGCGCATAAGTTTTTCAAAAAACTTGTGTGCTAGTGGCCGTTCTCCAGATAATGTAACCTACTCAATTTTGTAAGCATATGTGTCTTGATATGGCGTTGGATCTATTTCATGAAATGCAAAAGAACTTATTGAAGCCTCACCATATTGTTTATAACACCTAATTGATGGTATGTTCAAAGCTGGAAAGATTAAAGATGCAAAGGAACTGTTTTTTAGACTTTCCATAGAAAGGTTGCAGCCTGATGTTTGCACATACACTATAATGGTTAATGGACTTAGTAAAGAAGGATTACTACATGAAGCATTGATGGTGTTCAGGAAAATGGAAGGGAATGGTTGCTTACCAGACAGTTGCTCTTATAATGTGATTATCCAAGGATATCTCCGACACAAAGATGTGTCCATGGCAAAACAATTTATTGACGAAATGGTTGGCAAAGGGTTTTCTGCAGATGCCACTACTCTGGAGTTGGTAGTAAATGATGACCTGCTTGTGAAAAAGCTACTAAGCTGCTCTAAAAGTTCTCAAAGCGAAAGTTGAAGTGAGATTTTAAGGTAGAAGAATTGTTATGCGGTCACAGGAGGTTGCCATATTTGTATCAGACTTTTCTATCAATCAAAAAAAAAAAAAAAACGTATTTAAGGGCTAAATTTGCTCAAAGAATTTTGTAGTTTTAGTTCCCTTATTTTATTTGTCTCCATACTTTATGTAGTTTTATTCCCTTATTTTATTTGTCTCCTACTTTAGCAAAACAGGTCGCAGACAAGGGCTTGCGGTCACAGGAGGTTGCCATATTTGTATCAGACTTTTCTATCAATCAAAAAAAAAAAAAAAACGTATTTAAGGGCTAAATTTGCTCAAAGAATTTTGTAGTTTTAGTTCCCTTATTTTATTTGTCTCCATACTTTAGCAAACAGGTCGCAGACAAGGGCTGAAGCACCTTTTGTGTCCTACTGAAAATTTTAAAATCTGCTCTACTTTTAGAACCACCAATAATTTTATGTAATCATTTAACTTTTAATTTTATTGTATAAAAAAATATTAAATATTAGATTATTAACAATGACGCTTTTAATGACCTACGAACATTTTTTTTCTAATATAATTAGATGTTAGTTTTATTATAAGAAAAAAAAAAAAAAGAACTCTTGTATTTGCCTCAATATGCAATTTAATCTAATCTTCATAATAATTATTGTTTATTTTAATATCTGAATTAAAATTTTTGTATAATTAAGTCCATTTAATTTAAATTTATCACTAAAAAGCAAAATGAATTATTTTACCCTAATACTTTATTTTGATAATTTTTCTTTATTATATTTCTTTCGTATTTCTTTATTATTATTTTGCAACAACAGTTTGTTTTTTTGCTATGCTAGGAGATAAGGGAATCACCCAAAAAGAAACAATAACTGGTTGTGAAGTGACGATCTGTCAGATCACCAGTCCAATCAGCATCAGAGTAGCCAGATAATATGAGGGAGGAGGTAGCAGAAAAGTGTAAACCATGAAAAAGAGTTCCTTTGAAATAACGAAGAATTCGTAGTACTGTAGAGAAATGAGTTGAGCGAGGAGCAAACATAAACTGGCTAACCAAATGAACAATATATGAAATATCAGGTCGAGTAATAGTGAGATAAATAAGACTCCCAACAAGCTATCGATATAAGGTAGGATCATCAAGAGGAGTGCCATCAAGGGGTTTAAGTTTGCAATTTAGCTCCATTGGGGTTGATACTGTTTTGCTATTAGTAATGCCTGCTCGAGAAAGTAAATCGGATGCATACTTGGCTTGAGAAAGATAATAGCCGTCTAAACTTTGAGAAACTTCAATACCCAAAGAATAGCTAAGAGAATCTAGGTATTTCATTTCAAAATGCTGGTTGAGATAATGTTGTAGTTCTGATATACCAAAGGAATCATCACTTGTTATTATCATATCATCAACTTAAAGCAACAAAATTACAATTCCGCACTTACTTCGGCAAGTGAATAATGTAGAGTCATGTGGACTAGAGAGAAAACCAAATTGAACAAGAATGGAACTAAATTTGGCAAACAGGCCCGAGGAGGTTATTTTAATCCATATAAGTCTCGCCGAAGTCTGCAAACCTTATAAGGAGAATGATAACTAAGGGGAGGATGCATATATACCTCTTTCGTTAGATCATCATGAAGAAAATAATTTTTTACACCCATCTGGAAAAGTGTCCACTTACGTACTACAGCAATAGCTAAGAGACTGCAAACGGATGTTAAGCAGCTACTAGAGCAAAAGTTTCTTCATAGTCGATACCATACTCTTGAGTGTACCCTTTGGCTACTAAGCAAGCTTTGTAGCATTCAACAGCTTAGTAGCGTTCAACTGTGCCATCAAAGCGGGTCTTGATTTTATAGATCCATTTGCAACCAATAGGGGTCTTGTTTGGTGGTAGATCAACTAAATCCCAAGTATGAGTTTTCTCTAAAGCCTAAAGTTCTTCAGTCATAGCTTGCTACCAAATAGGGTCAGTATTTGCCTCGCGATAAGAATGAGGCTCACGAAGGGTTGCAATAGTAGAGTAACAGTGGAAATCAGAAAGATATTGAGGAGTTTCTTTTACCTGTGTCGAACGATGAAGAGGAGGAGATGCAGTCACAAGTACAGATCAACAATTGGTGCAGATTCAATAGGGGCATTGGGAGTGGGCTGATATTGAGTATATCAAAATCACTTGGATCAGGACTTGGAAACAACTCATTGGAGAAGTTAGTGAAAAATATAGAGTCAGTATTAATAGAGTGATGAAATTTGGAAAGAGAAGAGAACATAGTATTTTCCCATAGGGTAACATGACAGGAGATGCGTAACTTGTTGGAAACAGGATCCCAACAACGATACCTTTTGTGTTCGTGAGGTTGTAAAAGGATAAAAGAAGCACATCCAAAAGGTTTAAGAATCGAATAGTCAAGAGCTTGTCCAAACAACTTTTCAACCGGAGATAATTTATGAAGAACCAAAGTAGGAAGGCAATTAATAATATAAGTCTCCTCAAAACTTTTCTGGACATGAGGCAGAAAGAAGAAGGGCACGGACAGAATCAAGAATATGACAATGTTTGCATTCAGCTCACCCATTCTATTGAGAGGTGTGAGGACAAGAACATTGAACAACGGTGCCTTGTTGACTAAGAAACTGAAGTAAAGAAAAATCCCGATATTCCATTGCATTGTCTATCCAGAGAATTTTAATATCACAAGAGAACTGAGTTTTAATCATTTTTGCAAATGTGATATAAATTTGTGATAGCTCAGATCGATTTTTCAAAAAATATATCTAAGTAAAACGAGAATAATCATCAATAAATAATACAAAATATCGAAAACCATTCATTAAAGAAATAGGAGAGGACCCCAAATGTCAGAATGAATTAAGCCAAAAGAAGTGTCTGAATTAGTATCACTATGAGAAAAAGACAATGCAGGTTGTTTTGCAAGCTAACAATTTAAACAATTCAATGATTCAAACTTAGTAGATCCTAATAATCCATGAGAAATTAAAGGTTGCATTTTACTGGCTGAGGCATGACCAAGAGGAAGATGTCATTGGTGAATAGAGCTAATAATCCATGAGAAATTAAAGGTTGCATTTTACTGGCTGAGGCATGACCAAGAGGAAGATGTCATTGGTGAATAGAGGAATTGGGGATTGTAGCTGCAGACACAAGTCTTTGAGGAAGATGTAAAGATGCAAGCTCAAATAATTGTCCCACCCTGCGATCTGTCCTAAGAATCTGTCCCGTTTGCAGATCCTATATCTGGACATTAAGGGGAGAAAAAATAACATGAAGTCCTTTTTCACACGGTTGACCAACAGAGATAAGATTGAGTATTAAATTGGGGATATAATAGGTGTCAGGAAGATGAAGATTCGAGGTAAACACATGACCAGTATATGTGATGTTCATTTTAGTACCATTTGCAGTATGGATTGGTGGTAAGGAAGATATAGATTTTGCATAAGACAAAAATTTAAGATTAGTGGTCATTTGATTGCAACATGCAGAGTCAAAAAGCCAATAAAAATTACTCATAATGGCAGACATGACAGCAGGGGAATTGGAAGAAATAACCTATTTGAGTAGTGCCTCAATATCACTCATGTTGATGACAAGAGAACCCTTAATAGCAGCAACAATAATGACAGAGGAAGATCCAGTCTTAGAGACATTCTTGCATTTAGAATTTCCTCTTTTTGGTCTTAGAGGGCATTTGGGATAATTTTCAAGAATATTCCCATAACTATGACAATATCTGCATTCTAGAGTTGGACAATAAGAAAAAACATGACCAATTTGATTACAGTTCTTATAGAGTTAACTGTCAGATTTCTGATGTGAGAATCGAGTAGTTGCAAGAGCTGTTTCAAATTGAGGAGTTTTATCCAAACCGAGATGAGTCTATTCAAAACAATCTCTTGAATAACAATATACAATGAAGGGAGTGGATTTCGATGTAGCAGGGATGCTTTAATAGCCTCATATTCTGATCGGAGAGCCATTAAAACTTGAATGAGATGAAGATATCCTCACTGATTTTTGCCTGAGATATTTGATTCCAAACTGGTTGAACCTGGGCAAGAAAATCATTTACAGATTGGCATATTTCTTATTTCAGATTATGAAAAGTAGTCCATAACTGATAATAGTGGGCAAGCCCAGTGGTTTGATATCAATTAGCCAAAAAATCCTAGATTTCTTTTGCAGAGTCATAATCAGCATATTGGATATGAATGAATAGGACAGAGGCATTGCGAAACCAAGTGATGATCTGATGATTTTTACTTTCCCAATCCTCAAGACGCTCAAATAATTTTGCATCAGTTTCATCTTTCTCTCTTGTTGGCTTAGTGATATCTCTGGTAACAATATGCCAAAGCCAGCGACCTATCAAGCAACTTTCATTCCTTAACCCAAAGATTATAGTTGGAGCCATTTAGAACCTGTTAAAGTTATAGCTACAGCTATTGATGCAAGTGTTGTTGACAATTTTTGGAGGTATTTTGTTAAAGTCATTTAGATTTTGTTGTATTTTGTTGATGTTTGAAGTTAAGAGGTAGGTGAACTACCTTGCTTTTAGGTAGGTTTGGTTTGAACAACCTTCCTGACTTATGGAAGGGGTTGGTGAACAAACTTTAGGACTAGCTCTACTATAAATGTTTTTAACATTATGCTTGTAATGGAATTAATAAGAAATTAATTGTTTCTTCACCCTTCACAAAATTCTGCAGCTTTTTCTTTTCTGCAGAATTTCCTTCTCTTCCTTAATTTTCTGCTCTTCTAAACCAACAAAGTGGTATTCAGAGCAACCTTTGATCCTCAAAGGGCTGTGTGTGTGTTTTGAGTGAAAAAGTCATAGAGAAAAGCCCACCAATAAACCAAGAATTTGTGAAGTTTTCTATTTATTTTGCTTTTCCTCAAATGGCTTCCAGCATGCATGTTCTCTTTCACCACCTATTTAATGGGGAAAACTATTCATGTTTGGGCTTGTGAAGATGAGAGCTTATTCAAGGGGGCTTGGATTATGGCAGTATGTGGAGGAAAACAGAGTTTACCTCCACCTTTCTTAATCAAAATCCAACCCTTCAGCAGATTAGACAACATGAAGAAGAGGTTGCTAGGCTCCAAAAGCTCTGTCCTATATTCATGCAGCTGTTGCAGATCCTATCTTCACCAAGATTATGACATGTGAGACAGCACATGAAGCTTGGGAAAAGTTAAAATTGAGTATCATGGATCTGGAAAAAACTAGGACAGATGCAGATATTTCAATTAAGAAAAGAATTTGAAATTGTTGAAAATGAAGGACAATGAAAAGGTGAAAGATTACATTGATAGAGTTATGAAAATTTAAAACCCAAATTCGATTGTTGGGAGAAGAGTTATTGGGAGAAGAGTTAGAAGAGAAGAGAATTATGGAGAAAGTTATGGTGACTCTCCCTGAAAAATTTGAAGCCAAGATTTCTTCTCTTGAAGAAACTTAGGGACATGTCACAAATATCATTGAATGTGCTTTCAAATG